TTGCACGAGGAAAAGCTCAAAAGGAAAAACCAAACAGCGTATTGCACTCCAAGCTCTCTTAGCTATTGTTCCACAGTATTCTTCAGTTACTCGAATCAAACAGTCGTACAAAAATCTAAAGACATTTTCAGGTTCAAAATAGTTTAAAAATGATATACAATATAAAATGGCTTGAAACGCTGTCCATTGAAAGTCAAAGCATCCTGTACATCATGGTTGGATTAAATACTAGGAACAATACAGTACAGTTTTTCAGACCATCATAATTCAAAATATTCATAGTTCAATATTTGCAATGAAAATTGATTGTAATTCATCATTATCTCACTTCAACTAACAGACAAAAGCTGCTGAAGCAAGTGGACCCTGTGAAACCTCTGTGCAGAAGAAATAGGACGCAATTACAGCAATTTATCATACAGAACAAGAATAGAATGAAAGTTTCTACACTAAAAACTAGTGTACCATTTCTTTTTTAAATTCTCCAACTTCAGGATCCGACTCCAGTGAGTGAACAGAGAAACCAGAGCAACCACAGATCTGGACTGTCTACACATGCATCTAAAACAAGTACATAGTTAAATAAATGTTTATGCAATAGTTGACATTAATAACAGTAAACTCCAGAGTTAATTAACAGTCCATCAGTCAGGTTTACCACAGGTCATGTTGAGACCAGAATAACTCTGGAATTACTACCCACATAAATGATTCAGTGGGGGGTCAAGTGTGATGTGGGTGTAGAAACAAAGACCCAGCTTGAGTCAGCAGGGCTTTATAACTAGCTTCACTCAGAACCTCAACATCAGATGGTAAAGTGCCTGCAGACAATGTGGATAACTGCCTGTCTTAGGGAAATGTATACTTGTAAACAACTGTTAGAACAAGGGCTGTAGTGCTGGTAACCTGTTGACCGCATAGAGATAGTAACTAGTAGGTACCTTATTTTGGCGGCACACAACACAGTTTTAGTCTTGACAGCGACTTGTGGAGAGGAGGAAAAAAACAGGAAATGTGGACTGCAACAACATAAGATAACACGAGTAAGGAACAGACTTCAGAACAGATGTTCAAGAAGGGAAGTGTAGCAGAGCTATGGCACAACACAGGTGCCTCTATAAAAGGTAAACTGCACACAAGGATAGTTTATCTCCAACTTTGTGGTCAAATCCCGAGAAGTCGTTCATGAGAGCAATCCAGCCTGTTAATGCTTGTCATGTGTTCCTAGACTTGGTCGCTGCCTTCCCTGAAGTATACCTGCTCCCACACGACTGTGCCCCACACGCAGAAGAAACCCCAAAGGTTGTGGAAGGTGCCGCGGTCGAAGGGGTTTTCATCAGCGCCGCAGTGTTTGAGGTAGGAGATGCGGTGGCGCGACATGAACTCCCAAGTGGTGGTGTTGAGGGAGACCAGGTACAGGTGGGAGCCGAGCAGGAGCAGCACAATCAGCAGGAGCAGAGCCACCAGCACAGCCACGGCCAGCAGCATGCCGTTGGTACGCAGCCACAGCTGCCAGGTGGGCGCGTAACTGAAACCCGTCCTGAGGAAACAAGCAGGAAAGAAGCGATCCGTGGAGGCTTTGCAGCTGCAGCATATCTCAGCCAGCAGAGATGATTGGTGACCGTAGTGTACTCACCAGGCAATGTGCAGCCCCCACAGCAGCACCAGCAGCTGGACGGCCAGGTAAAGCACAAACCAGCGGTGGTTCCTCTCACCTACACAGTTCTCAATCCAGGGGCAGTGATGGTCGTAACGCCTGACACAGTGCTGACACGTCAGGCAGTGCTTTGATCTCATTGGCTGCTGCTTGGAATAAAGGTCATTGTATTTAGAAGAAACAAATTAAAATGTGTATTAAAAAACATGCATGCTATGTGGATCAGAAGCCTTAAATTGAACCCTGTTGTTTTCACCCTGCAGTTATCAGCCAGCTGTTCTGTAAATAGCTGCTGTTGCTCATTAGCCCGGAAAAATGAGTTGTAATAAGATTTCTCAGGCTGTAGACTCTAACTGTGCCACAGTACACAGGATGTCTCAGGTTACCCAGTATTCTGTTTTGGGAAAACGGACATATTAACCATCTGTTTAGTCACATAGAGCAAGAGAACAACCACCACTGAGCTGGAGAGATCTCATCTGTGTTCACAGCTCCACCATCAGAAAAAGAAATTGGGAATATAGGAGGTTTATGTCAGAGGAAAAACCTGCAAGCACCTGGGGCTTACATTAAGAGTGAACATTTAACCAAAAGTAGACCTATATTTCTGTCAAAATGTATGTGGCTTTACAAGTGTGGCTTTACAAGTTCTTTGGGTTTAGGTTGAAATAATGCCCTGTACATAAACAAGGCTTTTCTCAGCTGCTTCTACTTGAAAATAAATCTTACACAGCATCAGAAAACATTCCATCTAGATTAGTTTGGTGTTGTCACATGTCTGGTCTTGTGTTTTCATGTGTGCTTTTGTTTTGTTTTTTTTGTTATTCTATACCACTGAGGGATCCTACTGTACAACTGTGTCATATTACAGCCTGAGAGCCATCAGTCAGTTAATTCCACCATTTTTACAAAACAAATCTTAACTCAGGGTCCTCTACTACATCTGACAGTGTTCCCCAGTTCTGCCTGTTATCAAGAACAGCATGTTATTACTTCAAACACACGACCCAAGTTCCATTCTGTACTTGACAACTGAGCAAGCATTGTCCACCATCCCTGGGATCTGGCTGAAAGCCTTGAAGAGGCTAGTAAGTGGACCTTGAGTTTAATGTCTTCTTTTCTGTCAAACTACCACTAGGTCAACTGTACACACTATATGAAATAAAGCATGGAAATCGACCAAAAAAGAAAGTTTCCAAAAAATCCTTATCTTTTAGTCAAAAATTTCAATATAAAATACATGTGGTGACAAAATATCAACACACATCACACGCTCAGAAATCTTTTACTTGGTTTATCCGTGTGAGAGGCCACATGGGCAGCGTACCTGCAACAGACAGTGGCCACAGCGACGCTGTCGCAGGGACTTGGTGGTGGGTGGGATCATGTCCTGCTGCTCCTCAGTCACTCCCAGCGTGAACTGGCACAACACATGCGACAATCAGATCAGGGAAGCCACTACCCATTCACTTCAAGCTTTTATCATGACCTGTTGTGTGTGCTCATTTGTCATTTACATTCCCACAAACACGAAAACCACATTATAAAAGAGCACCCCACAATCTAATTCAGATTGTGTTTTGCACAGAAAGGTTCATATAGTATCAGTGATTCATATATTTTTACACTACCTTACACACACCATTATCCCAAAACATTAGTGTCCCAGAAATGATCTGCCTTTTTCAACCAGCAGCTACTCAACTGCCTTTACACATATTACCAAGTGGGCTCCAGTGCCAGTCAAACCGTTTGCTGCTTCTTTCTTAATACCAGCCATTCTGACAGAGATCTGTGACATGGTAATAACAGAAATGTATATTAGGATCATTAATCACCTGTAAATCGCTGTCATCAGACAAGATGAAGCCTGGGTCCATCAGCGAAACCGCAAAGTAGAGCAAAACCGACACCAGCACCAGCAAGACGAAGAGCACAGGCTGGACGAGCTGGCCCGTCTCCTCCTGCTTCCTCAGCTCTGCAACCAAAACACACAGCAGCTCAAACACACTAACAGAGTCCTGCTGGGAGGTCCCAGGCACAGCCGGGACCCCAGAGGCTGTCTCCCAACCAGGCAAGTTTATTTCATATGTCATAGCTTCTCATAGTGTGAATGCAAATTTGAATGGAATGCCTGGATCTGGAGCGCAGCCTTCTTGATTGGCTAACATTAGTATGTTATCGCCATTATACATCAGGAATTAGCTTGTCAATCCACAGAATTTATTACTTTAAGCCTACACAACATGAAGTGCTATTAAGTGTGACAGGCTTACCTGTGTCATGCAGGAAGAGTATCAACGTTATGACCCATGTCAGAATCACATGAGCTGTTCTTACCAGAAACCCTGAGCCAAAAACATTTTTGAACATGGTCCTAGCATGGTACAGCATCCATCGCAATCTTCAGATGGACCAGGCTGTTCAGACTGACAGGACGGTCACTGACAGGGAAACCAGTGTTTAGTTAACGGTAGCTACTAACTAATGCCACATTTATATCCAACGCTAATGTTAATGTTGAAACTTCAAAAGGCTTTCTTTCAGAAACCTAACGTTAGTTAGCTAACGTTAATGTCGTCTGAGAAATAACGGTGATGTTGCGCCAGGCTGCGCTACCCTGCGGCGTTTACGATATTTGACAATGAAACATTGAATTGAAAATAAGTCGAAAAACAGAATCTCTGAATTTAAGCGTCTTGAATGGAATTTAATAACTATACTGACTAAGATGCCACACTTACAATTGAATACAAGCAGCCCGTTTCCTTTTTAATGCATTTGTTTTGCTGTTGTACCTTTTCAGTCTCAGCTGTGATTGGCCAGCATCGGTCACGGGACAGCTCAGGATAGGGTGGCCGGGAGGGACAATAAGCCCAAGCAAACGACTGGACCTACGGAATGTTTTGTTGTCCTGTGGCGTGTAAACACAGAATCATTTCACCTCAGCAGGGTAACTGTGGAAGAGTGAAGGGATCACAGCTGCTGACATACACAGCTTTTTCACACCGACATGTATCATGCATGTATTATAAGAATACCAGAAAGCTGTTACAGAAAGTATATCAGAGTTGATATGATAAAAATACTATTCATTACACTGTTGAGGCTATATGTTACTTCTAAATGAAACTGTTGGGTTTTTATTCTGTAAATGACTCTGAAGGTAGTCTATGGGCTCAAGGTAAATATCTGAAGTCATGCTAGCACCATCTACCTTTACATGTCACTGTAAATGCCTAAGCTGCTGGAGGTTTGCCATGATTTATGTTTTAGTACAATGCTATGAAGGAAATATTCCTCAAAACAAACAAATTAGCTCTTGGAACTTTAAACAGGGTAATAAAGTAGAATGAATTTATTAAAAAGAATGGGAGAGGACACTAAGTGAGGTATTTTGATTATATTTTTTGTTACATGTAAAACAAAGTCTATAAATTCCCAAAACTCATTGCCAGTCCCTTTTTTGTCATTAAGTGATCACATGATTTGTAGTTCTTCTTCAACAAAGAGACAATTGCATGAGATGCATTAAATGACAGTCTGATATGATTATCTTCACATACGGTTCAAAATTCATTTAAACAATTGTGCATTCTTAGGCTGAAACCACCCAAACACATCTATCCAGGGTTGCCATCTCCATTCTATACTGGAATTTCTGGTGCCGTCGCACAGTACTCTATTAATCAGACGATTGTTACTGAGCCTGCAGCTCCTTGGCCGTTTTTTCATCCAGTATGAAGAGGTTTGGCAGCGTCTTCCCTTTCAGCAGCTGCTCTAGGCCCTGACAGAGGAAGTGAGATGGAGGTTAAATCACAGCACCATATTTAATCAATTAGGAAGGGATCATTCTCAACATAAAACACTGAAGATGACAGCAGTGTATTTCTTGTCCACAAATAATTTAAAAGGCAAGCTGAGAAAATAGAAAACCTTTCAAAGAACAACCGGCAACTGCTCTGCTCTAATTGAACAATGTAGCCCTGTCTCTATAAAGTGAAACATGTTTCCAATTTCCTTAATATTTCTATTTGGATATGTGGGCACTTCCATGTCCTCACCTCTCCAAAGTAGGAGACCAGTGGTGAAATCTCACATCGCGCTGGAGGATCGTTCCCTGCTGAAACACTATGGGGAGAAAAACACATTTTTAGAGTTCAAGGATACATTCAGATTTTTTTGAGTCTATCTGCCCATCTGCACAGTAAAAGAGATGTTGGTCAATGTGATCATTTCTCCTCTCCATAGAGGGAATTTCATACTGAAAAATTTGGAATATACCCACTTGATTTGACTGATGCTGCCTATTAGCTCAGCTTAAGGGGAAACAGCTAGTCTGCCCAAAGTTATTGTTGTGGTTTTATAAAATAGTTTCAACACATAACGGAACGCAATGATGTGATGAAATATAATTTTGTAGTATTTGGGAATGTATCAAAAGACCCTTTCTGATGAACCTTTCTGTTAGCATCTAAGCATAGAGGTTGTCGGATGCTGTGCAGATTGTAAAACCTTTGAAGCATTTTGACATCAATAATGTTACTGGTTGCACCTGTGCTTTCCCTGCTAAGACAAGTCTAAATGTTTGTTGTTGAAAAGATGTAATCTGTTTCCAACCCATTCAGAGGACCTTTCTGTTACATTTTGTCCCAGGCTATTGTAGCTGCAGGGTATATATAGGAACATTTGCTCTGACCTGGCTGTAGGAGAAAGGGTTTTCCCATGTTCATCCAACAGTGTGGCTCTTGCAGCCATGGCCCAGCGGCAGTGTTGAGCCAGCAAAGAATTTCTGGCCGTGGTCGGGCTGTCTGTGGCTGCTCCGTCTGCATTTTTCAGGGGGGAAAACTCATCCTCCCTCACAACCTCAAACGCAACAAATTTCCTTCAAAAGACAGACAGTACATGTTTTAATTAGCTGTAGAGGAACTGTGTTAGGACTTTTATCTAGTGTAAAAGATATGCTAGATACCTTGAGAATGGAAAGACATCAAAAACAAATTTCTCCATCTTTATGCCATTTGGTTTGGTGGGTTTGACCTGATTGCCACATGTGTCCACAAAGGGCACTTTCTTGATTGCTACATGTTGTTTCAGTTGGCTTTCAAATTTCCTGTAAGATAAAAAAAAAAAAAAAAAAAAAAAATAGTATGAAATACAGGACCTAACAACATGCAAACGATGGTTATATATAGGGTTTATCAATCATTTTTTCCACAGCTTTGTGTTGGAAATCTGGCCATTAGGTTTTGTAGTTTTTGAGATAATTTCTTAGCAAAGTGTTAATAAAGTCTATGGGTTGGTGCTACAGGTTAGTTGGATGGAAAGACATCAGACTTAACATAGCCATCACTGCTTTCAGCTAATGAAAACAGCTTAAAGCAAACTTTACTCAAACAGGTGGAAATTTGTTGGGAACTATTTTTAGCTCCAGATTAATCTACCTTTGGTGCTCGAGTCAGTGTATGTGGGACTGGGTCAGAATAAACTACAGTGTGTGTGTTTAGGATGATGAAGAACATGACACTCAGTGCAGCAGTGAGGCTCACTGATGTTTTAATAGCTTCTGGACAACAATGGAGCTCTATGACTCAGAGGAAGAAGAGGCATTACTCTGTGATTCACATGTTTTACAGAGAAGATTTCTGAGCCAAACTCTTTTTCTTTAGCGAAGGTTAAGCTAAGTGTTTCAGCTCCTTTTAGCTCATTGTTTTGGTTCACTCTCACTGTGCTCATCAGCCTTGCTTCCAGATTCAGCAGGGAGCTTGTTTTCAGTGAAACTTAATGCACACTACCTGCTCAACACCAAACAGCAGACAGACAAAGTTATAGACTAGCTGCTGAACATAACATCCAGATATAAATGTGTCCAGCTGAACTTTGCTGGTCATTATGTCCTCTGTATACTTCCATGCGTCAACTGCCTCTTTTCTCTAGTCTATAGTGTTTTTCACTCAAATCAGTCTGATTTCACTTGCTGGACATACAGAGGGATTCTACAAACACATCTGTGACAGTAAAGGCTCTTACTCTGCTATATCCTGCAGGAAAGCTCTGGTAAAGAAGTGGTTGCAAATGTTTCCAGCACTGTACACCAACTCCCCTCCAGGTCCTCGGAGCTCAGCTGTCTCTGGTTGGAGCTCGCTGTACTCCACCACCTGGAAGACGCCTTGAACCCTGCAAACCACACCCACTGGCTCTGCAGGGTACGCCTTCTCCACCACCTGACACATGATAGAGGGGAAAGGCCAGATGGATTTTAATTTAATTAGTGGTGACCCCGAGTAGTCGAAGATTTGATGCATAGAAGGAGCCAGATTTGACTGCCAGTCTCCCAGTCAAATCTTTGCAGAGGTGTTATGAAAAAGGATCACACCATTTTGCCGATTTGGGGGTGCCCAACATCTGATTTTACATAGAACTAACGGTTTTCTCCTAAGAAGTTAATATGGGAAGGTACCCAGAGAGCTGGGACATGTTTAGGGTTCACTCAGTGGCTGTAATAACCTCTTATTTAATTCTTTATTCAAATAACAGAGTATTTAACCATATTGATGTATGGTTGAGATATTGAGCATCAATATTTATATTTCCATTAAATAATGTAATTTGCTTTCTTTGTGGGAGTGAGGGGAGAAGACTGATGATATTCTCATGTCTGTGGTGTGGTAAGTACAGAGCTGAGTCTGGGCTTGGCATAAAAACTGGAAGCAGGGAACAAATAGCCTGGCTCTGTCCAAAGTTCAAAAATACATCTACCAACACCTCTAAAGTTCACTAATTAACAGATACCATTGTGCTTAATCTGAACACAAACAGATGCCTTCCCCAGCTCTGTATTTAATGCACATGACATGAGACGTTAACCTTCTCATCTAACTCTCAGAGAGAAAGCAAATAGGCATATTTGTATATACTCGACAATTTTGAATTAAATATTTCCCTAAATGTTTGGACTCTTTTATATCTGCTGAATGATATCACTGTACCTTGGCTCCACAGTCAGCCCCTTTGCTCACACAGAACCCAATAAATACGGGGTCGGCCATCTTAACCAGGATGTTGTCCACACAGTACACGTGCAGGTACTCCACTCCCCTTTTCTTCAAGTCTTCTAGCACCTTGTTGTCCACCAATGCCTGGTACAGACCCCCATTCCCGTCTGACAGAGGATGAAGAGGTTTGGAAACACGGTTCATTACACACATCTGTGGTAATAGTTGAAAACAAAGTGATTTTGTGGCCATTGGCATCCGGGTCTTCTGAAATGTGCACCTACCTGGGGCCATGGCTATCTTCCCTTTAGCCTGCAGGATGACCTTTCCATCAAAGGTCACTGCTGGGATCATCCTTTGCTCAAACATAACAATGTTTGATGGCTCCAGACCAAAGTAGTTGTTTTCTTCAAAGAATTTCTCAGTGGGAGCCAGAGTAAACTCACTGGTCATTATGTACCTGAAGAGTTACAACAAGAGTTTTAAAATGTTACATTTACCCACTACAACCTTTGTGACAATATTTCACTTCCCCGAGTATAACCACAGAGCCAGAAACTGCAGCTATTATCAAAATGCTTCTTTTAACAATGGATCGCATGACTACTTTTAAGTGAAAGGGGAGACTTTTAATGACAAACCCACAAATAATTTTAACCAACTCTGCAGCTGCCTTCAGATCTGTTGCGTGGATCCGAATCCACATGTACGTGTAAGTCATCCACCTGCCGCCACCCAAACTACTTTCTCCTAATTAGAGAGCTGCACCCACATGGACAGATCAGTCGACCCCTACCGGTCCCTGTAGCTTTCTAGGTCATCTCTTTGTGTTGTATTTCTTTAACAATTTACTTCAATGAATACAATTTTTTTAAATTTACAATTTAATATATTTAAATATGTGATTTAGAAGTAACGTTGGCTTAACCACACAAAATGAGCTAGCTACAACTAGTTAACCTGTTTATTTGTATCTGCTACCTTATATATGTGGAATAACAAACAAAATAAATAAATGCAGCTGTAGCCACAGCAAGCTACCTCATCAGCAAAATAAAAAAACTTTACATTACAACAAATGTCAGTGAGTCAGGTTCTGGTGTTTGTGAAAAGTTTACAATATGTAGTTACTGCAATTTGGCTTTGAAAGTTAAGGCAGGATTAGCGGCTAATGCTAAAGAGAGATTATTTTTACCTAAAACGAGTGTGAGTACTGGATTTACATTTTCCTACTGAACAGAAACACAACATCAGATGAATGCTAATGTGGCTGGATGTGTAAATAAGAAACTGCTTGCTAACAAGTTTGCCATAACGACTTTTTAAGCTGCGAGGTAAATCAAAGTGTACTGCACTCAAATGTCTGGGAGTTTATGCCTCATGTCGGCGTAAGCCTACAGAACATATGATGAGAGTAGTGGAGGAAGATGTGTCTTATTAGTCTTACCATGGAACGGTGCATTTTGAGCCATGCTTTCTGCCTGCCAGCTCCTGGATTTTGTGAATGCGCTCTGCCTGGATTTGATACAAGGTTTTGCCACTTGGTAGCCCAACGTTATACATCCCTTTGGGATACTTAACACCAAGACGGGTCCCCTGACCTCCAGCCAAGAGTAGGACTCCAACTCGATTCTCTGAGATTTGCAAGAGCCCTGTTAAAACAGACAAGGGCATGAGCAGCAGCAGGATGCCTGTAAGTCAACTTTTCATTGGCATTTAAACTTTACAACAAGTTGCCCACATAGTAAACTAAACCTTTTGCCATACTGTAAGGTGTGTTTTGCCTGTCTCTGTAAAAGTGCTTTATTTTCCTCATTCAAATCTGTTTTGACAGACAGAATGTGTGTGTGCGTGCAGGTGGGTTCATATTTCACTACGTAGGTGAAAACTTCCATAAAAACTTTACAAGCTGGCATTTATCCTTAAACTTTTTACTCGCTTCATCATGCTGTAGAAGTTTTTTAGAAGTATGCAAAGAGTTTACACATGGTTTTGAAAGTTTTGAAGTTTTTGGAGTTATGAAGGAATGAATCTTGCAATGATTCAAAGCAATGATTTGAGAAATATCAGAAAAAAAACCCACTTTGTTTTTTCTTCTTCTTTGCTTTCTTGTTAGTAATCTTGTGAGCTCTTAGATTTACTGTCTATTTACTACATTTTTTTAAAGTAATGTGGAGTGGAGTCTTAATCCCATCCAGTATTGGGGGTCCTATCACTCCCCGACACTCAGCACTGAAGCCTTGCTGGGCTGCATCCCAGAGTCCTCTGCTCTACACTCCATACACCCATGATTGTACACCAACCAACAGCATAAACATCTATTACATTTCCGGACAACCAGGGGTGGAAAGTTCCTTTTTTCTGACCTGCAAATGGGACTGGTAGATGAAAAAAATCTAGCTTTTGTGTGTCACACAGACATTTGTTTCAGTACTTTTAATTGAGATAATAAGGTATTATATCAAATACAAACTTAAAGAATAGGCCACTTATAAGATATTTATTCAACTTAAATGTCACATACATACAGGATGTAATCATTGCAGCAAAATGTTTTCTCACTGCTATATACAAATTTAGTAGACAACAGCACGAAAGGCAATAGAATATATACAGAGTAAAAACTATAAATAGTAGCATTAAGAGTTGTGTATATGTGTTTGTACATTTTTAAATCCTTCATGATATACATAAAGTGTAGCTAGTGTGTGCTGGGTGTGCAGCTGAACTGAACCCTTTCCAGTTCGGTTGATTTTACGCTTTTGGCAGCATCTGACTATTTGTTTTTTTTGTTGCTTTTTTTACTTTCGAGCTTTTTCAGCACTTCCTTTTCTTTTTACTATCCATTATTCAGCTATTGTTTTCAGTCCTGCGAATAGTTACCTAGCGCCTCTCTCTCTCTCTCTCTCTCTCTCTAAAACACAGAGAGAATGTCCCAATTTCAGTAACCTCGGACATCTCAGGACCAGGCTGGGCCCACTGCTTAATATTTACTATTATTACCATAATGAAATTGTGTAAGCAATTAACTATAAGTAACTATATGTGTAAATTTGTTCTAACGTGCTCTTTAAAAAGTAGTAGCCAAAGCATTGTTTGCCACATAATTACATTAAATGTTTAATTATCTGTTACATATGGTACTGCTTATAGTGCTGTCTAAATTATTGATTTTTTGATACATAATGATACTAATTATTTTAAATGGATTTAATACTGATTTTCCACATAATCGATTCCAAAAAATGCGCTTCTTTTCTGACAGCGAGGCTGACACACACACACACCCCTCTCCCCGTCCCGCTCTACTGTGCTTTAATTGGCTAGTAGGCCTACTCGTCACTTGTGATTGGATGCTGGCAAAAGATACAAGCAAGCCCTTATGAAAGTGAGGATACAGAGCAGCGTTAAGGACAGGTGCTAACAAAATCAATTGAGCAAAACACCTGCAGGACTGACGCTCCGAACTCTACTCTAGAACCTCGAGAGACGTCTCCCCTTTCAATATCAGTGGAGTATTAAACAAGATGGCCCAGTAAACAGTTGTTGATAAGATAGTTGTCCTGTTGTTTGCCTAACAGACATTTGTAAGCTAATCTCAGACAGCAGAGTTTCAGTTTATACTTTGACTGAGGTCAGAAGTAAATTAACTGATGATGTTCTGCTTAACACACAGTACTATTAACTTTACTAACTAATAAAAGCTGATTAGATATTTTAGTATTTTAATTAATAAATTTAATCAATGTGTCAATTTATTTTTGGTATTGAAAATGGTATCAAATATCAATATTTTTCAAGGTATTGTATTGAAGTCAGAAATTCCAGTATAATGTCAACACTAGTAGTGAATGCATGTGTCCGTGGGTGGGATGCATAGGTGTGGTAATGTGGGCTGGTGTGGCTCCAGTGCCAGGGTTGAATTTTTGTCCCAGTCTGCCCCTGCCTGGTGCACACTAGAAGATTTTCAAATCTTAACTGATTTTAAAGTGGGATACCCCAGACATGATGACAGAATTAACCAATTTTTAATACGCCACGGTGTGTACGCACCAGGCGATTAAGACCGGACCGGTCCAGACCGGACCAGACGCAGGACCACTCTCTCTGCGTTTATACTAAAAGTGTTCGGAGTGGTGGTACATAGGATCTTACAGAAACTCGCCTGATGAGGCATAAACAGTCAGCTGGTTGCACGTTTTGCTCAGAAAAAACAAAAAAAGAGAATAAACCTGTGGGTGAACCAAGGCTGAGAAGAGAGAGTCAGCAGGTTTATACATTTTATAGCGCGAGCATGTTGGTGACACTGCCCGGTCAACTCGCTCTCATTGGCTGTTGCCGGTTTCTGATGAGAGGCTCCCGGATCGTGGGGTGAATTTAAAGGGGTCATATTCTGCTCATTTTCAGGTTCAAAATCTTATTTAGGGGTTGTACCAGAACAGGTTTATGTGGTTTCATTTTCAAAAAACACCATCTTTTTTGACATACTGCACATTGCTGCAGCTCCTCTTTTGCGCAGTTCCTAGTTAAGGACAACTAGCCAGAAGCCGAGTAGGGCGGGTCCTGAAAAGCCGCTAAACACGGCTTCGGTTCAGCTGTACATGTTCCCCTTACCAGCTTATTACCATAACCTGGAGCAAGAGTTTCAGAGTGGTGAGTTATTAATCTGTAACAAAAGAATCTTTCATCCATAAAGTTTTAACTGAGCTCTGTCTCTACATCACAGGAACAACTTCCTGCCTGGATGGTAGCTAGTGTTTGGAAGGGAGAGGAGAGGCAGCAGGCAGATGTAACGCACTTGTTGTGACGCACACAAAATGTATGGTCACATTTTAATTTTGGTTTAATTTAAACAATATCTTTTGTTTTGTAACACTGTGTATAAATTTGATGTTGAGTCACCAAAGTCTGCCAGTGTTTTAGCATTACATATATGTACCAGCGTATCAATAGCTAACCTGGCTAGTTGTAAACCAATGCTGTGTTCCATTTACCTCGGAAGTCGGAGGTCGGAGCTGGGAATGACGTCACACCCGAGTTGACGGCGTTCCAGTTAACAAGTCGGAAAAACTCGCTCGGCCAGCTGTTTGTTTACAACTAGCCAGGTTAGTTATTGATATGCCGGTTGATTAAAAAAACGCATTATGCAGCATTTACTCACACTAAACACTGTAGCAACACGTCCACAGACAGCTGTTGGACAGCACTTTGTGTACGAACATTTCTATGAGACACAAGTACACAGAAGTGCTAATAAACAGTATAAACTACAGCTTTCACTAACTGTTGATACCCCGACAGCCATCTTGGATCACAAAGTCGGGGTAGTGCGATTCAGACATAAGGGGGCGTTCCCTTAGAAACTTTGAACTCGGAAATTCCGACTTCCCATGTCAACACCAAAACAGCTGGCTGAGCAAGGTTTTCCGACTTGTTAACTGGAACGCCGTCAACTCGGGTGTGACGTCATTCCCAGCCCAGACTTCTGAGGTAAATGAACGCAGCATGTGTGATGCAGCTCAGTGTTTTTGAGGGCGTGTCAGACTAACCGGTTGGCGAATTTATATGGCGCATTTCGCCTTGATGTCAAAGGCTGGACTACAAACGAGCTGTTTTCAGGCAGTTCAGAGCAGAGCTTTCTGTGGGAGATGGGAACTCACTTTGGACTGGACTTTGGGCTTTTTCACTTTGCAAACCTGTTACCTGCGCAGAAAAGATATCTAACTGAATAAAGGACAGGGAAAAGCCAAAAAGCATAATTTGACCTCTTTAAGATGATGTCTGTAAACCACTCACACTACAGGATCATTTGGGCCAATCAGTTAAGACCTGCCTCGGCTCGGGAACAGGATTGTTGGGAGGAGCGAATCGGACCCAATATCAGCTCCATGATCCTCTAGTGCGCTTGTTACTAAATGTAGTGAAGTAAATTAAAAGACAATTCCCCACTGAAATGTAGTTAAGCAGATATTTAAAGTAGTGTAAAACGTCAAACTCAAATTACAATTACATCAAAACTGTAATTTAGTAGAGTAACGTTACTAGAGTAAAAACCTAGTTACTTTCCACCTCTGGAAGTAACGTTAGTGCAGTGACTGATCAAGCTTATTAATTTCATCTGACTGCCTTATGGGTACTGCAGCTAAATGTTACATCTATAGTACATTAGTGATAACACTAAGACCAACGCGGAGGGGATCTGTAGTTTAAACATCTGATGTTACTCAGTAACGTTATCCTGGCGCCATCTTCCTCTTGTTTTACTTTACCCACTTCTCTAAAGTACTCACTGGTTACCGTAATCCCTCTAAAAAACAGCACCAGTGCTATTGCCACCCACCTTCATTTTCCCACTCTGCTAGAGAGTTTCTGTCACTTTTCCTCACGCTGCCGATGAACTCCGGAGGGACTGGCTCTATGTGCTGATCCAGGCTAGCAGACGGGGAGGCTGCCGCCCTCGCAGCACCTTCACAGTGCTCCTTCAGTCCTTTTAGGTCCAGCTGAGACAGCTCCGTGAGGAAACGGTCCCTCTCCTCCTCACAGAGCTCCTTCCAGAACTGCAGGACGTGAGCCTGTCCTGCATTCTCCAAACTCTGCTCCACTTGCTTCAAGGAAAGCATTGTGTGTCGGCAACAAAGCGCACTGTGAACACATCGAGTCTCTCAGCAGCCTGTATGTGCTGTAGAGTGCGGTATTTTGTAGGAAATGACCGCGTGTCAGGAACTCGTGACTGCGGATCCAAAGAAGGATTCTGTGGTGAAGGGTGAAACACTCAGATATGACAGGATATGCTGCTGCAGCCGGATGAAAGAAACCTGTGTGTGCAGTCAGGTTTACAGGAACGGCCAAACATGTCTGACCGCTTTCTGCAAACCGAGGAGTACACTACTTCTATTCAAAGAGGCTTTATTGGTACGGAAGACGTTTACATTACCAAAGCAGGCGTGAAATAAAACATTCACAGAAGAACTTTTTTTATCTGATACAGTATAAAATAATAGAATAATAATTAAAACAAACAAACTGCAGTTTAAATTCTACAAATAAGGGAGAATGTAAACTTCCTCTCAGTCAGTCAGCAGTGAGCATGAGACCGTGAGAAAGACGTGATGACTCAGCATCTTTCATTAAATGAAATTAGTTTACGTGTGGATTGAAAATCAGTAGCCTGCAGTAGCACAATGTTACCGTCAGAGTGCTGGATATATATATCGTAACGTGTTTTACCGGTTTTTACACAGCGTTTTACTTGAGGCCTTAATATCCAGGCATAACCAGCATAGCATATTTCTTCTGTGGTTTCTTGGAGTTCTGAGCCAATCAGCTCCCCAGGGACCATCTGCAAGTTGCACGCTACAAGCTAGAAGCTACAAACTAGAGTTCTTGGTTTTATTTGTGTTCTGATTTCTGCACCTCCAGTCTACAGAGCAGCTTCTTCCCCCAGGCTGAGACTACTTAATTAATCCTCAGCACTGCACCATGTAAAATAGTTAGATTTCTATGACTTGTTTATTTTTGTTTTTGTGAGTAACATAAAGTGGAACTACAACCTAACCTTGTAACACAACCCTGGAAATCTACCTTATAATCTGGAACAATGTGAATGGATCCAAGACTGGAAGTATTTGGTAAGTTTTCCACCACTGTCTGATCCTATTACTACTTCTCCAATTACAGTATTACACAACTTCTACACATCGGCGACTGACTGAAAATAGTAGTTATTAAACAACTTCCCCACTTTTCTGTCTGGTCTGGTCACGCTGTACCTCGGTGTGACTGTTGTCTCTCACATGGCTGCTTATTGGTATTGGCTCTCTGCCCACTGAGTCTTTTAACCTTTGTGAAGTGTCAACAGCACATCTGGAAACCCCTGTCTGCCTTGAAATGTCTGCCTGGAAGAGATCTTGCTGATGCAGTATAACTACCTTGTGTGTTGTTGCTGTGTCTCAGTCTTGCCATGGTGTATGACTTTTGACAGTAAACTGATACTCATACACCTGATGATATGCCTACACTATCCCTGACTTTGTGCAAATATACCTAGAAGAATCAATGCTGTTTTGAAGGCAAAGTGTGGTCACACCAAATATTGATTTGATTTAGATTTTTCATCTGTTCACTCGCTTTGTATTTTAATTGATAAATATAATCTATTAAACACATTTCTGTGAATATACTGTATGTGTATATATAAATATGACAAACACAAATTACAAAAGAACACACTGTAAAACACACATTAGTTACTACTTACTCGAGTACTGTGCTTTGTACAATGTTTATGTACTTGTAATTTCCTTTATAAAATTAAATACCCTGTAATTTATTTTTAAACATTTTTGGCTAATGGACCCTTATAAAAAGTGTCTAGTAGAGGCCTCTTGTCACACGTTTCAGATATCAACAGATGTTAATAGCAGTTCCTCCAATAAGACAATATTCCTTTAAACGTCTCACATAACTGTGAGGCCTTTTATTGCACTGACAAAAACAAACGTGCCACGTGGTGCAAGCTCAGGTGTGATTTCAGTTATAGTTGAAAATCCAGCGGGGGCGGCTGTGTCTCGGCAGGTAGAGCCGTTTGCCTGCTAATCGAAAGAGCGGCGACCCGGCTCCTCCAGTCTGCATGTTGAGGTGTCCATCGGTCAAGATACAGAACCACAAATTAATTTCTGTTCTGCTGCTTACCACAGCCATCTGCCATCAGTGTATATGTTTGTGAATGTGACGTAGTGTAAAAGCCCTAGAAAGGCGCTATAAAAGAACAGACCTTTTACCATCAAATGGAGTCATATCAAACAGTGCTGAACTAGTTTATTTGACAACCGAGATATACAAGCATAAATACAATCATAACATTCTTTCAATGGATGCATCTACATACAAATACTATACAAGAACTCACATACGCATTCTTTAATCTCCATCACTTACAGCTAGCATAATAAAATAAAATAGAAATATATATATACTGAATACATTTTCTAAACGATGCCACCATTTACCACTTTACATTGTAGCATTCAGTTTGTGTAGTCAGATCCTGTGCATTTCAAGTTCCACTGCTTGTTGGTAAGTACAACATACAGGCAGGTAAAGGCTACTTTTAAGACATTAGAGCTTGACTTTTCACAGTACAAAATATGGAAAAAAATGTACATGCAGCCATATGACACCATTCTGTGTCACCACTTTATGCATATATGATATCAGCGCGAGGCGAGGGCTTAGAGGAGGAAAGAGGGATGGACTGATATGCTTCCAAACCTGCGAATGAGGATGAACAATCAAAAGGAGCAAATGTAAGCCCTCCACCGGCTACAAAGACACAGCGTGACTTCAAAAGCTGCTCAAGTGAGGCAGCTGACAAAAGCAGTCAGGCATTCTGAATGTCACAAGGAGACCAGCAACTGAGACTGCAGCTGGACCAAACACACACAGATTGTACGGAACATTGGTTTGTATAGCAGGGGAGCTGCCTGTTGATGAAAACAGCTACTTTCCACATATACTTCAACATGATGTCATCGTGTTCAGGCTGCATCTATCACTGCCCATAATGTGTTTATTCTTCAGGATATATTCCTGATACACTGTGCTTTTGCCTGAGCAGTGTTTGCAGCTGAAATGCAGGGTTCATAACTTATCACCATAACAAACTGCTGCTGAAGAGAAATCAGATGTGTCATCATTAGAACCTTTATATGGGGCCCCAAAAGATTCAACAGAAAATAAATGCTAAAAAGTAAAACTATGAAATAAAATTTATGCAAAATATAGACATGAAACAATAATGTGTGAAATAATTTAATATTAATTCATCATCTTATTTTCATAATAACAGAGTTTGATGTGACTTATTTTAAAATGGAGAGCCTAAGTCCCTGCCCTTCTGGTGGACGACCATGGGAAAATATGTATGGTAGTCAAAGGCGAGAGACAACTAATTTTTTGATCCCATTTGAACCGTGCCCTTAATTACTCTATGATGTTTGTTAATTTCAAATATAATTTTGCAAGTCAAGAAAGTTGCAGTTTGTCATTAAACTGTCAAAGTATAAGATTGTGAAAATATGTAATTAGAAAGACCACAAACACAAAAGTTGCATAGTGACATCATAACTTTTCCTCTCACTGAAGCTAACGTCACTGAAGCTAACGTCCAAGAACTACCATGAGTAGATGATGTGATGAAAGGACCAAGAGTCGTTGGATTAAACATCAGGTGAGAAACATCTGTATGTGGAACACAGCTAAATTACCTAGCTAGTAGCAACCAAGCTATGAAACTTTGCTAGCATTACAGCTTAAACATGTTGGTAGATGTAGCTCATTGAGTGGTTTCACACAAAACTAAATGTTACTCTGTACAACAAACTGCGATTTTCTTGACAGGCAAAATTATCTTTCAACAGACATCATTTACTATCCTACACCCTTTTTCAAAAGTCTGAATGGCATTCCTACAAACAACACTTTGCATGCCACTTTTTACTTCAGAATTACTTTGATATTATTGCTCAAGCCAACAGGTGCCAACTGGCCGAGTAGCTACCAGTATCCAACCGAAAAATCCCTCCTTCCAAAGCCACTCCTCAGAAAATCATGTTCATACTGTGTGCACAGGCAGTGCACACACACACACACACACAGGTAGGCAGGAAGGTCAGGCCAGCCAATCATTTCATTCGGTCTGAATGAATGGGACGTGCTTATTGAAGTCCTGCAACTGCCAGATACTGGCACAGAGCGTTTGATTTGATTGCTGTCAGGTTGTAAAAAGAATATCAACAAATGTAACAAAAATGCTTCTGAAATAAACCGCCTACCCCTGCTTTAAGCCTGCTAGTTTAAATACTGAACTTATGCTTAAGGACCCCTCTTGGTTGCGGTGACTCTCAGTTTTTGACCCATTTTATTGACTAATCTGTTTTATACCACCTTTGGCTGCAACATTAGTCAAGTTATCTACGCAAGTTACATGACGTTACATGCGTAAAGTAAGTTAAATATGCTAGCCAAGTTAACTCATGTACGCAAGTTAAATTAAGTCAGCGTTGACCTTTGGTTTCACACGGGACACGAACAGTGGCCTCCTGGGAAAGTCCTGTGTTAATGTGACCCATCCATCCGTTCCGACCTTGTCACATGTGTTGTCTCTCTTTATATTACATCACCTTACTTTTTTTCCCCCTCTATGCCATTTGTGCATAACATGACAGGGAAGAGACTAAAGGGTGTGAAATGACACGCGAAAAGTGAACAATTCCTTGTCATAACATGCAATAATATGTACGACACAGGCGTGTTATTCTTGTGGCATTCGGTAATAACTGTAGTGCATTCAGCCCCAGCAAAATGTTGGAAATGTTTATTTAAATGGAAAAAGTTGTGCCTTGCAACTATGATTTTTTTAGCCTCAAGAAATAGGTTGAAATACATCTTTAATAGTAAAAAATATGCTTGTTACAGTCCAGAATAGCAGAGAACATCCCCATCGAGTGACAAGGTATGTGGAAACTGTGGGGTGGGATTTATATACACATTGCTGCTGATGGGGGAACTTCTCGGACACACGACCTCTCTACCTAACGAGTTTTCTTTACACTAGCCACAT